CGTGCGCGCTAGCCGTGAGAGCTGTTGGCGGATATCGATTGAAGATTGACGGATTGTCAACGCACTCGGTACGCCTAGGCGACAAGTCCGTGCGGCACGCGTTTCTGATCAGCCCAGACGTAGAGCAGACAATATTGGGAGCTGATTTTCTCGGGAGCACAGATTTCGTAATTGACCTAAAGCAGGATGGCTGGTGACAAACTATGGCGCAATCAAGCTTGAAGTTTATCCGCGCACTGTCGTGAGTGACCTGTGTGTACGAAAACTTCCGTCTTGTAATGTTACGGGCCGTGGTTGAGGAATATTCCGAACTGTTCACGGGCGATGAAGATCCGTTTGGCTTCTGCCTGTTGGCTGAAAATGAAATTCCTCTGTCATCAGAACGCTTTCGACCTTATGGCCCCCGTCCGTTGCCGCACCGTCTACGGGAGGAGGTCCATAAACAGATTCGGGAGATTTTTGTGGTTATGTCATCCTGCAACTGAAGCCGAGAAGCAGTGCTTCTCGGCTTTTCAGCCTAGATTGACTTCACTTGCAGGATGAAAAAACCACAAAAATCCCAAAGCTCCTCACTACCAACAACATTCAGGAGATGTTGAAGAATGGCATAATCGAAGAAGCCAATAAGGCGTACGATTCTTCGGCTGTGTTTTTGAAGAAGGCGAACGGAAAATACAGGTTTCGCGTTAATTTCCGGTGCTTGAATGAACTGACCGTAAATCGGGTTGAAGCTGTGCCTTCGGTTGCAGAGATTTTCGATTCCCTCCAGCACTCCCGATACTTTACTGTGTTCGACTTGCGTTCCGGGTATTGACAACTAACTATCAAGGAGGAGGATCGGGAGAAAACAGCGTTTACGGTTGGGGACACCCAATATCATTTTAGACGAATGCCGTTTGGTTTATCCGGGGATCCATTCACATTCCGGCGCTTGATGCCTCGTGTAACGAAGAGACTCCTGAGTGTTGCCGTGTACGGAGACGATATCGTTGTGCACAGCAATTCGGAACCAGAGCAGGCAGTTCACTTGAAGGTTGTATTGAAGCGAGTCCGGGAGGCTGGCCTTCGGATAAATGAAGCCAAGACACAGCTCGCTCGGAGTTCCGTGACAGTGCTGGGGCATAAATTGGGTCAGGAAGAAGTTACCCTAATACCAGAAAAATTGGTTGAGATCAAGGGTAGTGCCGTCACCAATTCAGAGCGGTCTTTATGGCAGTTTCTTGGACGGACAACATACTACGGTCGGTTCCTTAAGGACTTCAACAAGATCGCTGCACCACTGTACGATTTGCTCGGTCAAAATCGGAGATTCGGATGAACCGGAGAAGCACATGAAGCTTTTGAACTTGTCAAAGCGCAGATGATGGATGAGCAACTGACCCTAAAACTGTCCAGGGTCGGAGAGTTGTTCACTGTTACAACGGACGCTAGTAATCGGGGTATCGGCGCAGTCCTAAAGCAGAGGAATGGAGTTATCGAACGCTAAACAGAAGTACGCAACCACTGGAAAGGAATGTTAGGCGATCGTCTGGGCCCCGAATAAGCGGAGGCCATATCTGCTTGGGCAGAGATTTCACGTAGAAACTGA